TTCCAGCCACACCTGCCTCAGGTGGCATTCAATAAAAACTAAACCAAATATCACATGAGAAATGAGAGGAATGAAACCTGTTGGTCTGGCAAGCAGGGCCCAGAGACTGGGGCTCCCCAGCTCTGAGAGCAGCAGGGTGGGCTTGTGTGGCAAAGAGAGCCAAGAAAGCTCTGTTTTCAAAACTTGAGGTTTCCTGGATCTCACTGAAAGCCAACACCAGCTTTGTGGTGCTGGCACGAGGGGAAACAGTCTGTTTCCCATAAGAAGAAGTAAATGGAAGAGCTGCTGACACATGGTGTGCACAGCGTGCGACTCTCTTCACCCACAGAGCCCAACTACAGCTACACCACTCCCCAATCGACTCCTGCAGCAAACCCCAAGGCTCTTCCAAGAAAAGGTCTGATAAGAATCATCTCATCACTTCTCCTCTTACTCTTGGTAAGACCTACATGGGAAGAGCACGCACGAGAGCGAAGCTTCCGCGCAGTGTTTTCATGCTCTGTTGCCCCATCACTTCCAGTAAAGCACGGAAGAAACTTTACCAGTGTATTATGTTGTCTTCAGTTGTGTATTAAGGGTGATGAAGCTATAAAATGATGACATCAGAACTAAAAAGGGAATATGGGGCAAGGCCAGAGTCCTCCAGACTGTCTGCCTTCCCGGCACAGAGGGCAGGTGTAATAGTGAAAGAGACAAGTCACACACACCTACTTCACACACCAACTTCCAGCTCAGCCCTCCACAGCATTCTGTTGTCTTGTGACCACCCTGAGTCATGCAAGAAACCAAATTCCTTTAAGTTTATGACAGAAGAAACTCAAGTTAATGTTTGCAGAGGACAGCACAGGCTTGGCTTGCTGCCCCACTCCAGGCTTATCGCTGCAGCTGTGTTGTACATCACAGCAGCTCAGGAAAAGCCACCATACTTCTGTGTGTCTGTGGTGGTAGAGATTTTTACACTTAGGTCTTAGCAGCTCTTGGGGAGAAGTGGGGAGCAAAGCTATGTTACAGCCCTGATCCGTGTAGCTATGAGCCATGAAATTCCTCCTTACAACACACTTGTGTCCCAAGAGCAGCAGAGGAACATGCCTCAGATGCAAACAGCTCATTTAAATCACTCCAGGCTTTCCTGGTACAGACAGCACTGTCTGGACAACAAAAGTGCCTCTGGCAGCTTAACCAAGCAGCTGCTCCAGACCCTGGCCAAACACTCCACGCTCATCGTCACGTTTCGCCCACACTCTTCACCGATTCCTACAGTCCTGAGGTGGATCTGGGCCCTGAGTTTTCAAAGTTTGGAGCCACAGCAAGGAAAACACCAGCACCTCTGACCAGGCAAACCCATCCCTGCTAGCTGCTCTGTCTCCACCCCAGCCCATGGCCTGGATATCTCAGGGCGTTATTTGCCAGTCTATCCCTGCGGCCTTTGGATGGAAATATCACATCCTACCCCAGGCAAGGGGAGAACCTTTGCTCTGATCCCTTCCCCAGAGCCAGGCCCTCAAAACACTCTCGCTGATCCCTCCAGGGTTTTACAGAATGATCTTTTGTTTGCTGAGCAAAGGTCTGGTGAGTTCTCAGTCGGCCTCAGCCCTTTTCTCATCATGTCTTCCTTATCCCAGTTTGCCTTTGGCACCAACAGCAGCCAAACTGGCCTGAGCAGCAGCTCACCCACCAGCCACTACCCTAGAGAATTACTTTACCCCTTTCCAAGGAAGAGGTGCAGCTTCTCCTCAGCCCCAAAACCATCACAGCTCCTTCGCCAACGCAGGAGGAGACGCAGACATTGCAAAACCATTCACTTCTCCTCCACTGTCCTGTTTATAGGGGACCAAGTCCAAGAACAGTCAATCCATGAGGGACAAACTCCTCAGGCTATTTCCTGACAGGAGGGCAGGTACTGTCTTCAGAGAAGTCCTCCAGGTTCAGATCAGCCCCTCTTGAACTGATGCAGGGGGAAAACTGATGCATAACCAGGGAAAATACCCAGCACACATCGTGGTATGAAGGGATCCACTTGAGCCCTCATCCCTGAGTGAAAACACACCAGCACACAAACCTACCCTCTGCAGGAGAACAAGCCAGGCAGGGAAGACCATGTCACACAACAGTCACCCTGACCCCACTGGGAACAAGGAGCTCGAGCTGAATCGTATCAGCGAGAGCATCTCCTTCCCACTCCTGCAGGACCACGGCCCTGGCACACACCTGGCAGCAGGGCTGGAGGCAAGGGAAGTTATTCCTGCTATAGGCCAACTTTCTGATCAGTGCTAGAGCTGGCAGCTCCTTTGCTGCTGCCAGATAACAGCCACTAAATCCAGGTCTCAGACACCAGACAGCTGCAGGTGAGCTGGGAAGCACTGCTCTCCTGCTTTACCCTAAAACCTCAGCTTTGAAACAGCTCTGGGGCTCAGACCAGGCTCTGGACATGCAACTCAAACCCACCAGTCCCTGCCCAAGCCACAGGCAGGAAGACTTACCCCAAAAGCCAAGAACAGAGCTTAAACTCTCCCAAGTCTCAAAGCACACCCAGCAGTTAACTAACCAAGCCCCGGAGCCCTGGGTTAGAGTCAGCCCTCCCCACACTCCAACAGGTTTAGTCGGCTCTGTTGCCAAACAACCCAGACCCACACACTGCAAACAGTTTACCTTTCCTCACATCCCCAGTGCTCAGCCCGAGCCGAAACCACAACTCTCGGCGCGGCGGCAGCGCCGACACTGAGCTCACCCAGCACCGGCACGGCCACGGGTGGGGATTGCCTCTTTCCCACTGCTGCCTTTTCTTTCCCTGCTCCACTGAGCTCGGCATTGTGCCCCAAACAGGTTCTCCTGACCTTACCCCACGGCGAGCAGGAATCTCTCCCTTTCCTGAAGGATCCGGAGCCATCCTGGTCAACCTTGACGCGCGAGGCTCAAAGGAACCGGATCGAGCGTAGGACGGGGCAGCCCGCCAAACGAGAGGCTTTTGTTTTTTGGGACAGCCTCAGCCCCCCAGCCCCGGGGTGCTCTCACCTGCAGCTGGGTGCTGTACCTCATGCCAGGCCCGGCGCCAGGGCCGCGCTCCATGGCGAGGGCGTTGCGTGCGGCTCAG